CTTTTCTTGAAAAAATCATAAACTGAACAAAAAAAAGTTTTTTTTTAGAAAATTGATCGGAATTGACAGGTCGATTTTAGGTTTAAAGTTCGAGCTTAAACTTGTGTTCAGAAGCAATGGTTGGAGAAATTATCAGAATTGAACGCTTTTCAAACCAGAAACCAAGTTATCTTCTACATCATTCATCATATTTAGATATCTAGGGTACAGGTGTGAATCGGACATGTCTCTTTTTTGAAATGTAGGGTTTCGACGAAAGTCTTTTTAAGTAAGTTTTATTTTGCGATTACGAATTTAAATCTTGTTCGTTTTAGCTTTTCTATTATAGAATATGGTCATGCAAATAATCAAGGTTTTTTAGAAACATAAAGATCATTTATTGAATCTCAGAGATAACCTGGAAATTATATAGATCATTTGTTGAATCTCAGAGATAATCTGGAAATTATATATTTCATTTATTGAATCTCAGAGATAATCTGGAAATTATAAAGATCATTTATTGAATCTCACAGATAATCTGGAAATTAGAAAATTAATATTTTTTAAAATAAAAGTTCTCACTTTTTTATAAATTAATAATCATATTAAAATCCCATTTGAAAACTGAAATTACTTATTTTTACATAAATTTTTCTATATTTAGTTTCATTTGTTAGGTTTAAACTATAGGGTTGGGTTTTTTTGGGTCTCAGGTTACAAGGTATTAGACTCAAGGTTTTTTAACTCCGAATTTTTTAAGTCGAAGGTTTTTAAGATTAAAATCAGTTCTGAAAGTCCAATGTAAACATTTCACAATGGGGAGAACTCGAAACTCGAAAGTGGAAACTATAAATTAGAGGTGATAAATAAATCATCATAACTCATATTTTCGTGGCTTCTGGTTGGTCGAACTGTTAGAGATATTCTATGTAATTAACATAATTCGTCTGATAATAGAAGACACGGATTAGTGCTTTATGTAACGATTACCAATCTAAAATGTTGGCCCCGTGTTGTTTTAAATCTTATAACTTCAAGATTAAAATTGATATATTTGCGGGGATCCCACTTTGCACCTCCAGTTTCCTGCAACTAGCGATAGCTGATCTTTTTTATTTTAAAATAAAGAAGTTTTTTGTATTCGTCCAACCGTGACAGAATCTGAACTTCATCTCTCCTCTTCACAAACATCAACACTTAGGATTGGGGGTTTAAAGAGAATGTTCAGGAATTCCGAAAGATTGTATAAGAAGAAAAATTCATTCATTTTAATTTTTCGCGAACCTTCTATCTTGTAAAATCTTTGTAACCGTCATAAGCCAATTTTTATAAACTTCTGTTCTAAATTCCTAAAGAGGAAGGAAATAAGAAGAGAAAGAAAAAGGAAGGAAGGGGAAAGATAAAAGAAGAGAAAGGAAGAGGAAGGATATAAGAAGAGAAAGGAAGAGGAAGGATATATAAAGAGGAAGGAAGAGGAAGGATATAAGAAGATGAAGGATGAGGAAAGATATAAGAAGAGGAAGGAAGAGGAAGGATATAAGAAGGTAAAGGAAAAGGAAGGATATATAAGCCGAGGAAGGAAGAGGAAGGATATAAGAAGAGGAAGGAAGAGGAAGAATATGAGAAGAGGAAGGAAGAGGAAGAATATAAGAAGAGGAAGGAAGAGGAAGGATGTAAGAAGAGAAAGGAATAGGAAGGATATATAAAGAGGAAGGAAGAGGAAGGATAGAAGAAGATGAAGGAAAAAGAAAGATATAAGAAGAGGAAGGAAGAGGGAGGATATAAGAAGGTAAAGGAAGAGGAAGGATATATAAGCAGAGGAAGGAAGAGGAAGGATATAAGAAGAGGAAGGAAGAGGAAGAATATAAGAAGAGGAAGAAAGAGGAAGGATATAAGAAGAGGAAGGAAGAGGAAGAATATAAGAATTTACCACACATCCTATATCTAGAACGAGAACGGAACTGAGTAAGAAGCTATGAAAATTTCAGATCTGATATTATAATGTTATTCATTTATATCTGCATCTATGGAGGCCATTAAACTATTCTGCGGGGGGGTGTATTTTGTAAAATGTTTATTTCCAAACAAAATATCATACATTTTTTATTTATGATGTGTGTGAGCTTGTTTTCAAACCAACCCTTATCTTACCCACTATACTCTTTATACTGATAATATCGAATATTTGTAATTTAAAATTTATTCGAATATTCTATTTTTATAAAATTTCAGTTTAAAAATATTTTCTGTTTTTGATTTCTTCTCAACCTTGATCCAGGAGGAACCTTGAGATTGAAAATCTTATTTACCGGAGATAGTTTATCATTAAACCTTAAAGGGACTTTCGATTTCTATAGTTTATCATTAAACCTTAAAGGGACTTTCGATTTCTATAGTTTATCATCAAACCTTAAAGGGACTTTCGATTTCTATAGTTTATCATCAAACCTTAAAGGGACTTTCGATTTCTAAAGTGGCATATCCGATTCACAGCGTAACAATAAGGAGATGTCGTATCTCAATTAGCTAATCAACTTTACAGATATACCCCAAGTAAAACTAATCAATTTTCAGAGAAAAAAATAGGGATATATCATATATTCTTGATAACATAAGGGCTTAAAGGGTAGCATTTGAGTGGCACTCTATGAATGAAGTAAACTGGTCTGATTTAAGATGTTTCTCTTGTATTATGTATTTAGTAAAAAAAGGACTGATAAATATTACGTAATACGTATCCTCTTAACAAATCAGATTTCGCAACCGTACCATATGGATGATATTTCATAAAAGAAACATTAGATCTTTTCAAGTTTTATAAATAAACATTATATAAAATGTATAAAATTACGTTCGCTTCGTAATACCTCCCCCCCCCTCATCCTAGGACTATGTGTCGTTAACGGGAAGCGATCGTTTGTAATTGCTAATAACGATAAGGATATTCCGTGTTAACGAATAAATCTTAATTGATAAATTAACGAATGCAGTTAAAACTTTTCTTCAAGAAACTAGAACTATCATATAAATTAACAAACATGAACCGACATATTGTTATATAAATAAAACGTTCCATTTATTCTCAGCAACGTTCAACATGTATTAACTCTATACCCCCTTATCAACTGTGAGCATTGTGTATGTGCACAATGCAAAGTATAAAGAAGGGAGGGATCTGTCAAAAAATCATATTATGAAAATCAGCATAATTTACATGCATTGTATGAAGTAGCGTGATAAATTATTTTTTAGTTCAATGTTCACATAACATGTTTATGTGGTGTCAAATACTTAATTTTCCAGGTAATTAGATTCAAGTTAGGAGCAAAAATGAGGGGGATGGATAGTGTATAGAGTCGGATGTACTTCAACAAAAATCCACACTATAAAATGTTGTAATATAAAATAATCATTATACAAAAATCATATATTTTCATGAAAACTATTTTTACTTCTATCATGCGCGAAATATTTCAGTATAAAAAAAGGTTTTGGAACTTTTGAATTTCGGTTCAAATATACTCAGCTAATTCTGTTATCTCTCTGTTTAGAAGTTTAGCTAATGAGAGATAATTCAAATTCATTTGAACCGATTTGAATGTTCTCCGTCAATTTAAGCAGATTATTGAAGCAACAACTTAAATATTTTTTTTGTATTTTTCCCATCTTATGATATATTTATTAAAATAACAATTATCAAAGGTTTAACTGTATAAGAGAGAACAATTCTGTATTTGGAAAATGATTTTTAAAACAAAATGTGAAAAGTCACTCACCCCCCCTGCAACAAATAGTATCCTCCATGGCTTTATATTATTTGATTTAATTATTTTGAAGTCTTTTATTTTGCAAGCTTAAATCTAAAGGACAAATATTTCTGACCATCTGTCTGACATTTAATTCAAAAAGAGAACTAGTTCCCAGGGACTTTAATGCAACAAACACATATATTAATTAATAATAGAATCTTTAAGTATTATTTGTAATACTTATCATAGATAAATTAATTATCTAAAATATATTTAATTTAAAAAAGCAGGAGAAATTGTTATTTTTTATGGGAACTTAAAGAACTATATAAGCTTTTATGGAAACTGAAAGAACTATAAACTTTTATGGAAACTGAAAGAACTATAAGTTTTATGAACACTTGGAAAATGATTGCTAAATCACGTGAAACTAAAGTTAATTAAACGTAAGATCGAATTTAGTTTTGCTTTTAATCAGAACTCCTTTCATTGAAGTGATAATGAGAAAAATAAAAGTATCATGAATATTTTATCTGTAACTGAATTAATTGTTTTTCTCTAAGTTGTGTGTAAAATCAGAACTGGAGAAGCTACGAGTTCACAAAGTCGTACCAACAATGTCGCAATGCTGCCTAGTTTGAAGTGAAATATCTATATTTTACGGAAACTCTAAGAAATACAATTAATACATCTACTTTATAATCGATATATATTATATGTAGATGTAAATAAATGATGGAATACCGTCTATTTATCAAAATTTAAAACTTACACAATCCATCCAATTCCTATTTACATCATTTTTTATAAATCTTAATTAGAATACAGAACTTAACCTTTAAATCTTCAATTAATTGTTCTAATTCAATTATTTGTCTGCCTAATGTATGGCTGTTGAAATAAAAACTATCAATCGGACTCTTGATTCATGAAGTTAAGGTTGCTTAGCCTGGAGCAAACATGGATGCAAAACTATTTATCAAACTAGTTTACAATACATTATATGTATACTGTTATTTAAACCTTATATCTATTGTGGAATTATTTTCACTGTGCGGTGCTTTCGTGTAAAGACAAAGAAATTGAATTTTCTTATCCCTATATCTGTGCAACCTAATGTTAGAGACCTTAAAACTTTGCATAAAATTAAATTACGTCTACAGTCACTCTAACTACTATTCTGTATTTTAGATGATGAGTTGAAAATTGGAGAGAGTAGGGACGGATATCTTGATCTGGTTTCTCTAGATAATAGTTCTCGTATTCTAGATGATATCCTGGAGATTAAAGAGGTTGGGTGTGAGTGTATGGACGGATATACTGATCTGGTTTCTCTAGATAATAGTTCTCGTAGTCTAGATTATATCCTGGAGATTAAAGAGGTTGGGTGTGAGTGTATGGACGAATATCTTGATCTGGTTTCTCTAGATAATAGTTCTTGTATTCTAGATGATATCCTGGAGATTAAAGAGGATGGGTGTGAGTATATGGACGGATATCTTGATCTGGTTTCTTTAAATTATAGCTCTCAAATTCTAGATGATATCCTGGAGATTAAAGAGGTTGGGTGTGAGAGTATGGACGGATATCTTGATCTGGTTTCTCTGGATAATAGTTCTCGTATTCTAGATTATATCCTGGAGATTAAAGAGGTTGGGTGTGAGTATATGAACGGATATACTGATCTGGTTTCTCTGGATAATAGTTCTCGTATTCTAGATTATATCCTGGAGATTAAAGAGGTTGGGTGTGAGTGTATGCACGAATTTACTGATCTGGTTTCTCTGGATAATAGTTCTCGTATTCTAGATTATATCCTGGAGATTAAAGAGGATGGGTGTGAGTATATGAACGGATATCTTGATCTGGTTTCTCTGGATAATAGTTCTCGTATTCTAGATGATATCCTGGAGATTAAAGAGGTTGGGTGTGAGTGTATGGACGGATATACTGATCTGGTTTCTCTAGATAATAGTTCTTGTATTCTAGATGATATCCTGGAGATTAAAGAGGTTGGGTGTGAGTGTATGGACGGATATACTGATCTGGTTTCTCTGGATAGTAGTTCTCGTCTTTTCTATAGCTCTACCCGTATACCTGGGAGTTCATTATTTAGGTAAATATTTTTACTTTTCTCAAATATAAGGGGTGTTACAAAAAAGATGATGATTAAATTATGGCATTACGATCGCCATCAATCTTAATGCTTGACACATGTTGTAGGATATGAAGAACTTTTCAAATTATTGTTTTCTTAATTTACCAAACCGTAAAATCATTGTGAATATATACAAGAAAACTACTGAAGAAGTAACAACTTTAAAGTATAGACACCTTGTTTTTAGTTTGAAATTAGTTTTTCTATAATCTTTCCGACGGCGTGTTGTGAACTATTATTTCTTCTGAACTAAAACTTGATTAAGTTTAGAAAACAAATAATTATAAATGCCAAAAAAATATTCTTAGAAAGTTTGCAAAAGCTATTAACTATGGATACAAAAAATTAAACTTTCTGTTTAAAACAATAAAATTTTTGTTGATTTTAGCAATGCGAGGATGTCAACCCCATATAAACCTAGAGATCCAACCCGAGAGTATCAAAAGCTTTATCACACCTAAACCAGACCCGGAGCTGGACCTGGAAAACGTCCCGGAGATTGAAGAGGACCTGATGACAGGTTTACTTGTTGGTCTGTATCCTCCTGAGGTCGGAGTGAGAATGGGAAATATATCTGGGATGGTTGCTAGACTCCCGAGGACTCTGTATAGACAAGGAACCCAGTTTGTTCAGCGTGAGTTTCAGGACTACTCCGTCAAGGACGTGTCTACTCTCTGCTCCGTTAATGGGAACCAAGGGAAGGGTTTGATATCTCTAGGGTTGGCTGTGTGCAAGGAGAGTTTGAAAAGTGAAGCAGGATTGAAGCTTCAGGGTTGGTTGGATACACTAGAACCAGGAGTAGAGGATGAACTAGTAGGACTAGTGCTTCAAGGAGATCTAGAGCAAACTATTCATATTATACCAAAAATGTTCCCTGGAGCAGGTTAAACAAAATTCTGATATCTTTTCAAAAACTGTTTTTTTTATTAAAAACATTATTTTAAGTTACTTAATGCAAAACATTTGTATGTTGTCATATTTTGGGGATGCATTGATTGCATCTAGGAAATATTGTGATTTCAAAAGGTATGTCGTAACATTTTGATTTTATATTTCAGGTTTAAATGAATCTCACGTTGAGTCAATGCAGCATTTAGTTCGTCCGTTCTCCAGCTCCGAGCTCGTAGGACTCGCAGGAGCATTCCGAGCCGCAAACCTGACCGATAAAGACCTGGCAGTTCTCAACGCGGTCATGGGGGAAGCTTCACAAAGCCTCAGTGATGTTAACAGGTTTATTTTCTATTCTTTAAATCGATTTGTTTTTGTATTTTATTTTTTAAGAAAAAATTGTAACTTGGATAGTGCTGTAAATGTTTGATGGTAATCTTAAAACAAAAGTTACACTCAAACTTACTTCTGGAACAGCCGAAAAAAATATTTTTTAAGGTTGAAATTATTTTTTCTCCCCAAATAACATATATATAATAAAAGATATCTTAGATTTCTCCATGGAAAAGAAAATAGATTTAACAAAATTACTTTAAATACGTTATGCAATGATTTTCAATTGATGTCGCATATTTTTAACTTTTTGTAAAAAAAAGTGTTTTAGTTTAGAATTATTTTGCAACCCAATGTCGTAGACCGTAAATATATCAAATTATGAACTCTGGTATATCAAATACTTTAAGTTTGAAATATCAGATGTTTTTACTATAATGCAGGTTGAAAAGATATAGAAATTTAAAAGTTTAAGTTTGCGGCAAAAAAATAATTCTTGAAAATACACTTGGATTATTGTTATAAAATATTTTTCTTTAGCCATTTGTTTCTGTTTAGTGTTCTGGCAAAGATCAACCCTGCCAACCTACCTGGGATCAATGAGAACCTGGAGAAGTTAGGGATCAAGCTCAGCACGTTCATCTCCGATCCCGGAGTATTTCTTGCTTTCTTCGGAGACCCAGAGAAAAGTAAACTTCTTGTAAACCTTCAGGGTCTTTTACCAAAGTAAGTTTAGTATAAATAGCGTAGAGGAGGAACAAAGTTTTAAACATTGTAATTGTGATTTAGTAAAAAGTATTAATCAAAAGATTCTTAATTATCTAAAACTACGACAATAGTAATTTTTGTTGCTTAAAAGTTAAAATTCTTCTTTTTCTCATTCTCTTTCCACAACACTGGACATTTAGTGCTTTGAATCTCTGCTTCACATTTGTATAATAGTTTTTATGCTGTAAAGGGAAAACCTGTTTAAAAAATTAAATTAAATTTTCAAGTTTTGAATGGGTTATTGCATAACCTTAATATTTTTGCATTTCCAGGTTCCGTCCAACTGATATTGAAGCATTTCTGGTTTTCAGTAAAGAACTTGAAGTTGCGCAGGTTCTTAATAAATAAATATTTTAAAGGGAGTATTCACAACATTTGAAAACGGTTAAATATTTGGTTAGAAATCAACCTATTTGAATTATATGAACCCTTTCTTTGAAATTAAAGAGCTAGATGGAGTTGAAGTATTCACATTGGATATGGAGCTAAAGTATGTACCTTAAACCGTCATTTATTGTAGATTGATAAAGCGTTAAGGGTGGGCCGTTATACGCTCTACTGAATATATGAACATTCAAAATTAAACTTCATACTCTCATGTCATTTTTTCAATTAAAACATGTATGGCTGATTCTATAAAATTTCAATTATGTTAATAAAATGTATCTTTATATAACTACATACAATGGTCGGCGTTTATATCAATACAATAAAGACGACTTTCTATTTAAGTTTTGATTCATAACAAGCTTTTTACAAAATAATAAGTATCTAAATTAATAACAGCTGTTTATTGGCTTCTTCTTTTTGTTTGCATGTTTCCATGTTTATGTGTATCCATGCTGTTGGAAACCTTTGTTTGAAAATTGCAATCAAAAGTAGTCTTCATTGTATTGATATTCGACGACTTCTGCATATGAATATCATTTCTACGGACATGACTAATTCAATATTTGTTCATCATCTTTTTTTACATCGTGCATTTTAAAGTTGTATATTGTTGTTATTGTAGTGAGAAATTCATAAAGTGTAAAAACAACAACAAAAAAAGAAAATAATCATAATTGTGATGACTAAAAGTAAAATGAAATTTTTTAACAAAAAATGTTAAAAACAATATAAATCCCCGTAAACTAATATTAATTGCGATCTCAGGTTAAATATGGAGACCCCGAGGCCCCATCTGTGATGTCCAAATTATTCAGTATACATCTAGACGTTCTACTCGGCGCACTACCAAAGCTTAAACTCAGTGACGAGACTAGGTTTGGTTTGGAGGCGCTGATGCTTCTGATGGAAGACGACAAGTTCCAGGATTTACTGTCAGCTGCTGAGGAGGCGCAGTTGCTGGATTCAGCTGGGCAGCAGGCTTTCCTTCAGCTCTGCACAGATCAAAGGTTCTTTATCAACTGCAGAGATGTAAAGGTACAAATCAATCAAGATAAGGTATAATTTACAACAACGTCAAAAAGTAGGGCAAAAGAATTGAGCATTTTACCAAAAACCTCTGATTTTTTATTATCACAAAGACCTTAGATATTTGAATTCTGATAAATCAAATATTCTAAGTTTGAGATACCAAAGGTTTATATCACCAGGCTGCAAAGATAAAGAGATAAAACACTTCTTTAAAACCTCCTTAAAACATATTCACATCTTGACTAGTAGACCAAAAAGTACATTTTATGAGAACTGTCATTACCTATTATATCTACAGATATCTACAGATATCTACAGATACTGCTAGTGGTATCCTGTCTTGTCCCGCTTCTTGTCCCAGTATATATTATATATATTTAGGACCATTGGTCCAATGGACAGATACTCATAGGGGTATCCTTTCTTGTCCCACTTCGTGTCCCAGTATACATTATATATATTATATATGTTTAGAACCATTGTCCCAATGGACAGATACTGCTATGGGTATCCTGTCTTGTCCCACTTCTTGTCCCGGTATACATTATATATATTATATATATTTAGGACCATTGTCCCAATGGACAGATACTGCTATGGGTATCCTGTCTTGTCCCACTTCTTGTCCCTGGACTTCTCTACGCTCTCTCCACCATCATGCATCATAGGTCAGCTCAAACTAAAATTAACGAGTGTTAAAAATTGCCAAAGAGTGTTTAGTTATATTTTGGAACAGTACTGGAAAATTACAATTATACGGATTCTGAAAATAATTTTGTTGTTTAGCGAATCCACTGAAAATAGAAATTCACTTGGATTTTCTTGTTCATTAAAACCAAAACACTTTTTAAACTCGTTGAAACACCTTTTTGATAATGGACCAATTTTGTTTGGAGTATTTTTTATACACATAATTATTAGAGCTTGAACTTTTTCGGTCTTGGATTTTGTAGAATGCAACTCCTGGATTTCTATCATAAAATAGAAAAAGGAATTGAGTCTTTGTCACAAACTCTGATTTTCTAATCTCTATATCTTTGCAATCCAATTTCGTAGACGTTAGATATTTCAAACTATGAATTCTGTTAGATCAAATAGCCTAAGTTTGAAATATCAAGGGTTTCCACCATTAGGTTGCCAAGATAAAAGGATTAGAAAATTTGAGTTTGTGGCAAAAACTCAATTCCTTTCTTAGTTTAGGAGTTTTATGTCACTATTTCTCATATAAACATCTTACTGAAGCTGATCTATTCTATAATAACGATGACAGTCGATCCTTTTTGAAGGCATAAAATTCTCATCATTTATTTCAGAGGCTACATCATGCAGTGTGGGATAGGAAAACCTTTCAACATGCCGAAATATAGACTAGGTATCACAAGTCTTTTTTTTATAAATAATATTGAAAAATTATTCTTTTAAAATTTTTTTTATGTTTAACTAAAAAATGACGAAATAAAGATTTGTGTTCAGCCTGGGTTCTTCTTCTACCCTTCTACACAATCTTCATGCTACCCTGGACACTCTGTCTAGTGGTTTACAGGTGTGTAGAACAGACTTTAACATTTTTTTCATGATCTCAAATAACATTTCAAAATTAAAAACATTTTATTAGAATTTGAGAATAGAATTTTTAGAAAAATGTTTTAGAGAATAAAATAAAATTTTGTTTTTTATAAACCGGAATATTTTTAATTGATTGAGAATTTTAAAGTCGTCTTTGGCCTTTGAAATGGTATGCAGCTTTCATTAAAGGCAAGCTTTAAGTAATATTTTTTGAAACAATAATCACAAAATATCCCTAGTTCTACCATTTACAACGTGTGGTCTGCCATTTTTTTGCTTTTAAAAATACCAGAGATATTTGATTAAAAATTTTGCTCAAATTTTAAATTATTAATAAAACCAAGAAAATGTCTAATTCTGAACGAAATCATTCTTATCCTTGGTAATTTTGAAATGACAGACCATGGTTATTTTGTTATTATTGTTCCATAAACAAATATTGCTCAAATATGTTCTCGAAATTTTTACATACTTCCTGAATACTGTCATTCCATGTTTCTTTTAACCGTGTCAGGAAGGGGGTGGGGAGCGAATCGCCTTGAATTAGTTTACTATACTGAAAGCATGAATTCTGAGATATATTTTTTATCCCAACAAAAATCTTGCAAACAAACACCAAAAGTTTTCTAATTATTATTTGTTGTAAGGTAATTTTTTTGCCGTTCTTTCTGCCTTTGGTATTAGGATCGAATTAACATGAAGATGAAAATAGGAAAAAAGAAAAAATTCAGATTTTTTTCTTTAGACAAACATTTTGTCTAAGTTCATTTTTATTTTTCATTACAGTAATAATAAAATCTTTAGCGACAAGACAAACTTTTTTTTAGTTATTTACAATATTTCATTTGTTATGACTTTTTTCTATTTGATGTTTCTGAAATTTTTAAAGGTATTAATTTCTCTCAATAGAAATATCTCATTTAAATCAAAATAGGTCCAATCTGAACATTTTTATGATGGATAAAATTGTATACCCCTTCAGTTGTCGCGAACACTTCCTTTAAATTGAATATTTTAGGCAGTCCAAGGTTCTAGCTGGGCTAGCTGATGAGGCGAGGGGTGCAGGTCAACCTCTAGAACCAGACTGTACACATTTCAACAATGCTTCTAGTTTTGGGGTAAATATATTGATACAGGGGAACCTAGAACTTAAAGGTACAGTGGTCCCTAATAAGAACATGTCAATGGAAAATTGAATTATAAATGTATTGAACATTTTCAGATATAAAAGAGGGATGATCACTATTGCTCTGATATTAAGGTTTAAAGAGTACCATTGTAAATCAGATTAATAAATTAAAATTATGCGTACATCCCCTTTAATTGGATTTATAAAAAAAATCATTTTAGCTTCTTCTTGGTGCTGGGCAGGGAGTTCTTCATCTGGGAGTCCAAGCAGTTATCCTAGGGGTGGTACTCCTAGCTGGAGATATACTCCTAGGGATGGATAAGGAGTACTTCACCGCCTCAACCCTTGTCGTCACCGTGATCAGTATCGCCCTGGCCTCGCTTGTCTTGGGCGTGTCTCATCTGTCAAGCCAGGAGGCGTGTCGGCTTTCGGTGGACCTTGCAACGCCCCCTAATTCCAAGGTATACGATTACGAACTAATTTGTCTCTCTTTCTGCAGATTCTTGCAAATTTAAAGTTCAATGACGATGCAGAAAATTTTAAGATGAAAATTTACAGAAGCTAAATTGTATTTTTGCACATAAAATCGCAAATTAAATCAATGAAAGGAGTGTTATCAAAACTCTCCATGAAACAAGCAAAAGTATTAAAGAAATGATTTTGCAAGAATTGAGTTTTGTCTGAACATGACACTGCTAAAGTTCTGAAAATATTTAAAATCTTGAAAGGTTCTGAATCATAAGTATGAAGTTGAGAAATTAATCTTGAAAATTCTCGTTAATGCTTAATCTTAAGAAATTTTCAAATTTGTTAATGAAATTTTACATTACACTGCTCATAGTACTTAGTTAGATACTAAACTACAGGTTGTCCTATTAAACATGACATTTGAAAACAAATTAAAGATCGTCTTTAATTATAAAATAATTTGCTACCATTAATTAATATATAAACCTTCTTTTACAAATAGGATCATTAATATCATATTCATTAAAATTCTGAAGTCCATTTTAGATATATATAAATTCGTTCAATTTATTACAAAAAAAAATTAAATTTGAAAATTGCCCCAATGTCTATTTTAATTGATGTCGTTTTAAATCATTGGAGAAGGACACCTTTTATTTTACGTAAATATCATGAATTCCAATCAGTTTATCATTTACTGCAGTAGATTTCATTAACCCCGTCCCTGTATCTACTTTACACAATATCCGTAATTATATCAGGGCAGGGGTGTATTGTATGTTCAGCTTAGGGATGTGAACTTTTGCTTCACTTCCCTATCGCTCGTTCACCCCCTAAGAAAACCGTATTAAGAAGAAAAAAATCAAGCTTTAAATTCAATATTAACTTGCCTTACTTTCCAACAAATTTTTATCCGACAATTTCATAAAATCTTCAAGTAGGAAGAAAATAAAAACGCAGAAAGCTTTTAGAAATATTTTTTATATCATATTACACATTGTCCTGTATCTAGATCTATCTGTATCTAGATCTATCTGTTCTCCTCCCTGGTCTGGTTGGTTGTCTCCGTGGGGGTAACTGTAGCCTCTACCCTCATCCTCTCTCTCCTAGTCTACGTGGATACGGTGAGAACATTCTTGTGCATTGTTGGTACTCTAAGAAAGATAATCCATAAAGCGTTGGCAAATAAAAACATGAAAATAAGAAATAGAATCAGGAATAATAACTTTCTTGTTGTTTTAAGTCAATATTTCAAAAAAGTATTTGTTAATTTAAATTTTTAAAGCAGTAAAAAAGTTTATAGGGGCACTTATTTTTTTCTTGTCTTTTTCCCTACTAACTCGAAAACCTAAAAATGCTAAAGCCTCTTTATAGGGTTTACGTAATAATTCGTATGCTCAACTTTTTGGTATTTAGAACTTACGTATACTTACATATTTTTACGTATTTATCATACCAAGCAGTTTTTTACATGCTTAGGTTTTCCAGAAACGTATTTTTACGAAAAATTACGTATACTTTTTACCAAATAATTTTTAGATTTCTATTTCATTCTTTTGGTATTTTCTTTACTTAAAAATTATATTTTTTTTAGAGTTTATAAGTTTGATGCAAACCTAAAAATGCGTAATTTTTTGAAGTTTTTAGGTTTTATTTTACGTATTTCGAATATTCGAATGGAACTCATTTTTTTCTCATTTACTAAACTTCGTTCATTTTCTTTAAATCATATACACATTTGTTAAAACAAGAAAACGGAGAGATAAAAAGAAAACTTGAACCCCCGATGTCGTAGACTTTTTAAATTTTAAACTATGAATTCTGTTAGATTTGAAAGTTTGAATGATTAAATGTGGCAAAGATATAGGGATTAGAAAATTAAAGTTTTAGGCAAGTATTCAGTTTCTTTATTTGTTCAGCTTGGTTTCTCTGAATGGCGATGGTCTGGTGTTTGTATAATCCTCCTGCTCCCCCTGCCCTTGATCCAGTGCTTAATCTACCAGCTGTGTGTCCGGACCGGAGCTGAACACAGGTTCGCCTGGGGGATCATGGCGTCGATGATACCGGTCCGGTTCCTAGACATGGAGCGGAGAAGAGCTCGACTGTTCTTGATCCTGAGCCAGCTGGCTTGGCTTCTTACACACTCCTCCGCCTGGATACTCTACGCTATCTTCATGCACGTGACGGAGTTGAACGATGTTATCTGGAGAACCTGGATACCTGTGATCATACCAGTCCTGCTCATCCCTCCTCTTATATCCTTCCTTCACTGGTCCTCCTCCCTCTCCAACCTTTACTCCGCTACACACGCACACCAGGATATGCAGGACGGAGAGAAGAGGAGAAGATCCTTTCCTCCGAACTGGAACCATATGAGTGGGTCAGAGCTCACACCGGAAAATCTATCTCAGGTAGTGTGTCTAACTAAACATGATTTTACGTTTCATGATTTCATAAATTGGTTGATTTCAACAAGAAAAATTAATATAAACTGCAGAGGCCGAATTTAAAGAATTTGAGCCGCGGCTTAAATTTAAGCCACGGCTCAAATTTGGTTGGTTCCACTTAAAATCGTATTCATTGTTTCAAGATTTAAGCGCTCAATTGAAACCGGCTTTTGGCGGATTGAAGACGCGGCTCAAATTCATTAAATTCGGGCACTGATTAAAGTAAACTTGACTAAAAATAAGTATAATACTTAAGTTAGCTTTACCAATTATGATTTTAAATATTTTATGAAACCTAAAAAAACATATTAGAAATAATTGAAAAACAAATTCGTTAAGTTTAAAGAAAATTTTAGTCAAAACTAAATAAAACAATTTTTTAATAATGAAAAATCATTTAATTTGTGTTCTAGGCTGGTTTTTTCTACTCCTGTCGTAGATTAAAGAAAGGAGAGGCAACTTGTTTCTCCTGTGGTCGCCAGGTGTCAGAGTGGGGTTCAAGGAGCGCCCAGGAGGCTCATAGAGATCTTACAAACTCATGCCCTCTCTATACAGACGTGAAGAAGAGACATTTGTTTTACAATGAAAAGAATAAAAAGATTATAAAGAGTAAAAGATATAATCAAACATAAATGATGTCATAAATCGGAGCGAATTAAAAAGATGCTGAAAAATGTCCGTTTTGCGTAAAACCTATAACTTTTCCACAACTATTTTTTATAACATTACAAATAAATCTATCATTTTTATTTCTAAAAGTTGTTAGTTCATCGTCGAAAAATACAAACAGTCCACCTTTAGCTTATATCAAATATAGTGTAAACAAAAATATGTAACTTTCCTTTTCCTTTTATTTCTACTTTTTATATTTTTTTTTAGCTTGGTGGGAAATATTCCCACAAAATCTATTTTTTTGAGGTTTTCAAATATCCTTAAGCACTTAATTTTGTATGTTTTTGTTATATTTCATAAATAAATAATTACTTACTTACTTAATTATTATTAATAGTGTTATTATTTGTAGTAGTAGTAGTATTTTTAGTATTGCTCTTATTATCGATATGTTTATTAGGTTTTTAATATTATCATTGTTATATTTATTAAATATTTCAGGAAAACGATGAGGATGAAAAGTCGTCTTCCTGTGTACCCTCGTTTATTTTCCTGAGTATCAATCTTCTGTTTCGTCTTGGATCCATTGGTTTGTTTCTCTTCGTATTCACGGTAAAGCTTTATTAAGAACTAATTTTTCCAACTTGAATTAAAATACATAAAATAACCTTTTAAGAAAACATCTCAAAATCCTTATCTTCTAAATTTTATTATTAATCGGGATCGTGTAATGTATACACTGTTGAAAAGTTAAATATTTAAAATTGCATTTTTGAAAAAAAAAAAAAAAATTTGATTCTCTGTTGGTCTTCAGATCCAGAGCGGTTATGATAACTATAGACAGATTAAAATAAAGGATTTAATAAATTTTATACTAATTTTAAATCTGTGATGTTTTTTTTTAGCCCAAATTTGAAAACTTTAACAGACAATATATGACAATGAAGCACTATATTTTTTATTTGTTTTTTTTCTAAATATTATGTCAAAGGAAAAACTTTAAAAACATTTTCTTAATCAAATTTCTGTATATAGCCTTAAAAACTTAGATTATGTAAAAAAAGCAATGGTTTCATGAAATAATTAAAAGCTTTCAGTTTACGATTTTCCAAATGATTAGGATTCCTGGTTACTTGTTGCATCCTCCCTGCCAACCCTAGTTCTTATCCCCATCCTATTCCTGATAATCTCCTGGCTGCTGAACCCTGCCTGCTACTACGCCTGTATGACGAAGACCAAGGTGATTTGGAGTCTCGTGTCCCCCCTCCTACCTCAACCTGACTCCAACCTACAGTACATCGCTGTAAACCTGGCAGTCAACATTCTTCTCCACTTCCTGCTCTGGGCGGCCATGTTAGGAACATCACCAACGGTCGTTGAACTCTCCTGGCCTCGGCTGGGAGTAATTTGGCCGATCCTGGTCGCCCTGGCCGGGCTATCGGCCTTGTCTGTTGTACCTTACTGGTGTTTAGCACTGAAATCTAATAGTAAAAGAATACGTCCCGTTGATAAAACTGTTTATGTCGCATCTACTTCACTATAAACTTTACTCAGACATCCTTCAATGGGTTCTTTAAGTTTTTATACATTGTGTATCATAAGAAAGTACTATTATGTTTCTGCATGTCGTTTCAATTTATTAATGTTCCAGGACCGATTCAATTTAAACGCTAACCTACATGTTAGTTATTTGATCTAGATGAAATTTTTAAGACTATTTTTGTTCAATGTTCATATATTTACGTATCCGACTGTGTTCGTACGCCTCATGAACTGTTTACGGACCGCTCACGTCGAAAAGACGACACAAGATGCGTTTAATTGATTAACCGTCCCAAGAACAAATCATAAAACTTTCTAAAATTTGTATACCCTCCCGGTCCAGTCCCCACCTCACAAAAAAAACTTTACATGCATAAACATATTTTTAATCATATTTATCATTTATGCACATATTCATTAAATTCTGTGATTTTTATGTACGTAAGAAAACATATAGTTATAATGTTTTCACATTGAATTTTGTAATCAAATTTAAAAACTTAAGACAAGCGCAATTTTTTAGAAGATTGACGATGCACGACATTGTTCCTAAATTTGATGTTATCAAAGAAAAGTTCATTTCGATTATAAAAACAAAGCAAACGGTACAAAAAAAAACAAAGAAAAAACCCGATTCAAATATCGCAAAAAAATCAGTATTAACCATTTTTTTGTAAAATTAAAATTTACAAGTTAATGCGACGTATTTTCCAAAACTTTAATAACTTAAGCTTCGAATTCGATTAAAGAATTTAATTTTAAATATTAAAATGCAGAAATTATCAAATTAAGTTTAACTGATCACAGTCCCGTGAGGAATCATTAAATAAATACTTTATGTTCAAAATAGCAGTTTACCTCGAAAAAAGAAAATTACTATGTAATATATTTTTCGTTTTACTTAGATCCAAATGCAATTTATAAAAGCGAGTAAACTATGTGTTTGTTATGCTTGGTCACATGTTTCTGTAAATATATAAGTCATAATTTGCATATTATTAAAGTTAAATTCAAAATTTAAAGATTATCCTTTTTATATAAATGTAATATGAAATATACATATTTTATACGCTGTTAAATATTTATTGTTATGCTTTTTTAGACATTTATGTTTTAAAGAGGTGTTATGACGTAGTTTTAAATGAAAAAGTGTGTTTCTTTAGTCAAGTTTTTGTTAAAGGGGTTGCTGACGCAAAGTGAATAAATACTAAAGTGGAACAGACCAAGGCAACGACGACAGGTTGGGCCATAAGGTTTTATTTGGTTTGGAAATAATTGCATGAAAAGATTTCTTTTGGAAAGTAAAGACTAGAAAAAATAGACTAAGGACCCATGTAAAAGTCGTCTTCAGCTAGAACTTCAAAATTTTCATAATCAAAAATAAAAATTTTTCGTATGTTTATATGTGTTTTACATGCAAATACTATATAGTCGCTAAATAAATTCATTGATTTTGCCTGGCAGGCTTGCACTTCTAATTCTATGAGAATTTATCTTTGAAACTGCTTAGTTTTGTTTTGCCACCCCCACCCCCCCTAAAAAGAAAAAGAAATGTAAGCCCTTCCTGGGAAAAAATCTGAATAGGACTCTCTAAACATCTTTAAAGCTAAGTCTAGTTTTCAACTACTCTTAAATCTATCAAAATACAAAAGTGAAGACCAAGAGATACATATATTATTTTTAAATACTTGGGACATAAAATGTCGTCCTCCAACTATGAGTTTGGCCGGCCCGGCCACTTTAGTATTTAATCACTTTGTTGCTGACGTAGTTGTAAAAGTGTGGCATACTTGATTCATAATATTAACTTTAAACCTTAATCCGATGAAACTCGGATGAACTTTACTTCTGTTGCTTCTGGAATTGGACAATTAAACGATCATTTATTTTGCAGACTTTGTATTCAAATTAAGGAACTATCGTCTGAACACGTTAAACTAAAGTAAAGGATTAAAATCTTATTTGTTTCAATCAAACTCGTCTTGTGGAACAGCTGTTGAGGAGAGGAAAACTGTTTTGAAATTCTGCTTTATAACTGGATAAACTTGCTCTCATCATGCTTGAACGTAAAGTCAAAACTAGAAGATCCATGAGTTCACAACGTCGTACCAGTATTATTGCATAATTTCTCCTGTCTAGTTAGGAGGGCACATACCTGTTTTAAATCCTTAAACGTATTTGTTTGTTTGCATGTCTCTAATTGGATTGTTAAAACTGTCGGACAAGTCAATAAAAAAAAAAACGGCTGCTAAACCATTAAGATTTCATAACAATAAAAATGTTTGAAATCCGGCAATGAAAATAGGGAAACTTGTGAATGTATCCTTTGTTGTTATTGATACAAAATGCACGAAAATATATATCATCAAAATTCAACAAGTAAGCTTAAAATTTATTGAAGAAAATAGGGACAAGCCGCACCAAGCGCGTTGATAGAGCCCATATATAGTATTATAGAATTCTTCTAACAAAAAAATAATATGATTCTCGATACAGAAAACTTATTTAATCCAATTACTTAACTCGTCTATATCATTTTCAACTTTAATACTGTAAAACCCATGGATCAGGAAGACGATATATTTAACCAATCTCATTTTATTTCGTTGTAAAGCAATAAGTTTGCTCTGTTTTATGTTCATGCGATTGTTCAACACTATAACTTGAGTCTAATAGTCGTCTTCCCCTTCCAAAATTTGTTGGTATCGCTGTAAATATTTTGTCTTCATCTTTAAGAAACATCGTTACTATTTCAAATCAATCAGACGGCGGTATGATAAAAACATTTTATCCCAAAAAAGTTCCCGATTTGTATGTATTGAAACACTTCCTAAACAAATGCAGATAATAAATAATATTCTTGGAATTGTAAAAATGGGTTTGTATAGTTTAAGATTTAATTACATAAAATAAATAATTAATTTAAAGGACAATATGGCGATCATTGCCGCGCACATTTTTCATTTTCCAGGTCGTCTTTCAGAAATCAGTTTCTGTTGTATCCGGTTCCAAGCCTTGGGGTAGTTGTTCTGCATCTTCGAGATTATCTGTGAAAGAATAATTATTTTTTTAAAACTTTAATTCAGTTCAATGTTGGCGTTTTTCTGCATTTTATTGATGAAAAACACGTTTAGGTTAAAGTACTCAACTACTGATCCATAAGCGTCATAGGAATAATTTTTCCTCAGAAAAAATATATTAAAAAAACCTGTACCTTTCTAATTGCTTGCTTTGTGCATTTATCGCATGGACCAACACAATGCCCACTCAGCACATCTGCACCGATTCCTATTTATTTATTCATTTATCATTTATTTATTTATTTCATTGTAAATGTAATTTCGTGTAGCCCTCCATTTATAGAGAGGCATTTCCTATTTACAACAGTACCATGAAAAGCTTAATTCTATAATCAAGAATGAATAAGAAATTATCTACAGATGTTTCTAACTATGAAAATTACTCATTTTTTTAGACATACTTTTTGCTTTTTTCCCAATAGGGTCACAGGGGCCTTCGTCCAACATACAGGCAATCTGGGCATTCATGAAGGATTTATTCTCTAGCTGCGGAAGTAGAGCTAGTTCCTAAATAAATAAATAAATAAATAGAAAGATAGATAGATAGATACGTAGATAGATAAATAGATGAAAAGACGTATTTTTAGATAGATATATAAATGGATAAATAGAAATAAATAGATAAATAAATCAATAAATTGGTAGATGAGATAGATATGTATATGTATTTATTATATATATACATGTGTGTAAATATATGAATTACATGTATAGAAAGTGTATAGCTTACAAATTTACGCTAGCTGTACAAATACATTTAAAATTGTGATGTGTACGGTGTACGGTTTACCTTGAGCAGGATAGATCAATATCTGGCTGAACACGGTCAGTGTAAAGTGTACGGTGTACGGTGTACCTGCGGTCAGGCTAGATCTATGTGTAACTGTACATGATCAATGTACAGTGAAAAATGTAAAGTGTACGGTGTACCTGGGGTCAGGCTAGATCTATATAAAACTGTTCATGGTCAGTGTAAAGTGTACGGTTTACCTGTGGGCAGGCTAGATCTATATATAACTGTTCATGGTCAGTGTAAAGTATACGGTTTACCTGTGGGCAGGCTAGATCAATCTCTAACTGTGCAAGTGTACAGTGTACAGCGTACGGTTTACCTGTGGGCAGGCTAGATCTATATATAACTGTTCATGGTCAGTGTAAAGTGTACGCTTTACCTGTGGGCAGGCTAGATCAATCTCTAACTGTGCAAGTGTACAGTTTACGGTTTACCTGTGGGCATGCTAGATCAATCTCTAACTGTGCAAGTGTACAGTGTACAGTGTACGGTTTACCTGTGGGCAGGCTAGATCAATCTCTAACTGTAAATTGTACAGTGTACAGTGTACGGTTTACCTGTGGGCAGGCTAGATCAATCTCTAACTGTGAAAGTGTACAGTTTACGGTGTACGGTTTACCTGTGGGCAGGCTAGATCAATCTCTAACTGTGCAAGTGTACAGTGTACGGTGTACCTGTGGGCAGGCTAGATCAATCTCTAACTGTGAAAGTGTACAGTGTACGGTGTACCTGTGGGTAGCTAGATCAATCTCTAACTGTGCAAGTGTACAGGGTACGGTGTACCTGTGGGCAGGCTAGATCAATCTCTAGCTGTGCAAGTGAGGTAGAAAGATAGAAGGAAAGGAGAAGGATCAAACCAAATCTCAGCTTCAACATATTGACCTGAACATTAAACATTAACATTAAATTCATACACTTGGACCATAGATATATAATTACAACAGACAAAACCACAAAACTCTATGTATGAGTGCACTGGAATAAATTGGTTTTGTAAAAAAAACACTAGATTATGCTAAATCTGTGTTGATGGGTTGTAAATATATACTCTCTATGAACAGACGGTCATAGATAAATTAGTATAAGTATCCTTATATCATTTTGGTCAAATTTTTAGCTTTTTGTTAATTCGTCTATTTAATGTTTCTAATTGTTCTTAATAAAGATAAACACCCCCCCCCTCCTCCTCAACAACCATCTCCCTCCAATAACCCTAGATTATGAGTTATTTGGAGTATTTATGGAGTATCCGGGTTCCAGTAGAAATAGATCTATTATCCCATGGATATATTTCGCGACTGTCTGATGATTTGAACAAACAATTTATTATTGTTAGTTAAGATTTATCCGAATGAATTAGATCCTCTTCTTTGAAATTCGCTGCGGGGAAGGTTTATGGATCCCCAGGATTACAAAAAGTTGTCTCAAACATTTTTTCTTGATATTCGTAAAATTTTGAAAATCCACAAAAAAAAAGGGAAATCAACAACATTTTTTATTGTTGTTTTGTCGATGAGAAAATGCTAAAAGAATTAAAAGTTAAAATAGGATAAGGGGCCGGGTGACCGCGCAAAGTACCCAAAAAGCCTAGTAAAAAAGGGATTGGCCTTTACTGTTTCTTAAACACATCTTTCATTGGCCAATGCTCAGAAAATCGACGAGCAGAAAGGTATAAACACTGGTGAACTTCTAGTTGATGCATATTCTTTATCGTTGGACCCATCAACCTATAGTCACCAATATTCCTGTAATTCAAAATCAACATTGTTTATTCAAAGGAAACAAGTCTTTGCAACAAAATCTTATTTTCTAATTTTTATATCTTCTCAACCAAATGGCGTAGACCTTAGATTTTTCAAACTATGAAATCTGTTAGATCGAATAGTCTAAGTTTGAAATATCAAAGGATTACGCTAATAGGTTGAACAGATATAGAGGTTTGAAAATTTGAGTTTGTGGTAAAGACTCAATTCCTTTGACAGAAACTATACAATTTTTTCCATAAAAGTTCTATGTTTAAAACTTTCAAGCACTTTATTAAATGATTAGGCAGACCCCTTTTAGGAAAGCTTCGAAAAAAATATCATAATTTTCAAATCATTGCAGATCTTGGAAAGTATGTCTATTCTGACGTAAGTCTCAAATATATGTTTTTAAAGCGGATGTTCCTAAAAATATGTCCAAGCATGATAAAGTAAACTGCATAAGTTTGTCAGATTGGTAATTACTAAGAGATCAAATCACGACTGCAGTTTAATCCAAGATAAATGCAATAAATGCATCCCTGTTAATTGTCTAGTTTGATGTGCCCTGGATCTATCCATTCCTGAATTCTTGAATATATTTATATCACTATAACTTGAATATAACTGTAAATGTCTAGGCATTATATTTTGTGGATTAAAGCCTATTTATTATCCTAACCTGAGAGTAGATAGTTCCAGAGTGAACAAATATATTTTACAACAATCATAATGGGTCCTGGGCCCTGGAATATATTTTACAACAGTTATAATGGGTACACGGGCCCTGGAATATTTTCTACAACAATCATATTGGGTCCTGGGCCCTGGAATATAGTTTACAACAATTATAATGGGTACATGGGCACTGGAATATATTTTACAACAATTATAATGGGTCCTGGGCCCCGGAATAAATATATCACAACAATCATAATTTGTCTCGGGCCCTGGAATATATTCTACAATAATCATTATGGTTCCTTGGCTCTGGAACTTATTTTTCTACAATTCTACAGGATTAGTATTTCCAGGGCTCAAATATTTAAGTATTAACGCCAGAATTAGTATATCCAGGGCCCAAATATTGAAGTATTGAACCAGGATTAGTATGTTCAGGGCCCAAATATTGAAGTATTGAACCAGGATTAGTATGTTCAGGGCCCTAATATTGAAGTATTCAACCATGATTAGTATGTCAAGGACCCAAATATTGAAGTATTGAACCAGAATTAGTATATCCAGGGCCCCAATATTGAAGTATTGAACAAGGATTAGTATATCCAGGGACCAAATATTGAAGTATTGAACAAGGATTAGCATATCCTGGGCCCAAATATTGAACAAATATTGAAGTAAAGAACCAGGATTAGTATATCCAGGGCTCAAATATTGAAGTATTGAATCAAGATTAGTATATCCAGGGCCCAAATATTGAAGTATTGAACCAGGATTAGTATATCCAGGGCCCAAATATTGAAGTATTGAACCAGGATGCGTGTGTCTATACTCTGTAGTTTCCAAGGTCGCCAGGAAGCATTGGATTGGGTGCAAAACATCTAAACCCTCAATTCTCTGTTTTGCGTGGAAATGCCTAAATGCGTAAAGCATGGGACGAATGGGACCCGAAAATAACACTGTCATTTCCATGACGAACAAACTAAGTGATGTGGGGGGGGGGGCATAAATGTCAAAACATGAGAGTTTGCATAAAGGAGGGAGGGGTTGCTGCTCTCTGGGTTTTGGAGTGCTCTCTGGGTTTTGGAGTGCTCTCAGGGTTTTGGAGTTGCTCTCAGGGTTTTGTAGTTGCTCCCAGGGTTTTGTAGTTGCTCCCAGGGTTTTGGAGTTGCTCCCAGGGTTTTGGAGTAAAATGTGAAAATCTATCCGACCTATTAGGAAAAGTCCTTTAAAAAGGGTACTTAAAAACAGAAAATTGAAAAAAAGGGCTCTACTACCTCTTTTTTACTGTCTTTGTTTAGATATTTGCAGGAAAAAAATCGCAAATTTGAGTCCAAGTAGCCTGTGGCGATAATATAGTTTTTATTAGCCAAACTAACAACATTTATTTTAGCTTATACATTAAACATTATTGGTAAATGTAAAAAAAAACTTTTTTATTTAGACACATAAATGCTACATTCTTTATAAGTTATCTTATTTCCAAGTTTTTTTTCAGAAAAAATAAAAGATAGAAATAAATTTCTTCAAAAATCTATTTATTTAAATCAAGTTTTTTATCAAAAATCGTTTTTTTTTCAAAAATCAAATTGTAAATCCTCAGTGCATTGTCAGGCTTGTCTCTGATGCCTTGTTGAATTATTATTAAAAAGAAGTAGTTAATTTGTAGCTAAATATAGGCTCAGTTACATTTGCTGTAATACTTTTGATACAAAAAAAGGGCATAATTAGACTTGCCATGATTACACTTCCCATAGCATGGCACGTAACAATTGCCATAACTATATTTACAATTACATATGTACATATGTACATATTTATATTACATATGTACATATATTTCTTTTGATTAAAAAACTGCAATTAACTTTTGGGACTACACTTAATCAATCTGAATCAGGGACAGATTATGAGCAATAAGGTTAAGTTACTGCTCTTTTGGAAAAGTATTGTATTGTCATTGATTCTTCACAAAGCTTTTTCTACCAGTATTAGTATTCATTGTTAGAAAAATAAAGTTGGAAATATTCATAAGAAAATTTGGCGCATTTATAAAAAAATAGTTATATTTTATCTTTGTAAGATTTAGCAAATTATGACAAAAGTAATTATGTCAAGTGTAACCATTCTGGCAAGTGTAACTCATGGCAAGTGTTTCTTATGGCAAAAGTATTTATGGAAAGTGTAGTTATGGCAAATTTATTTATGAAAAAAAGTGTTATGGCAAATGTAACTGAGCCTTTCTATGTAAACCACCTGTGAAAAGCCGGATGTAGACTCAGTTTGTATTATCTTTATCATTGAAAATTAGTTATAACATTATATGTAGATGTAAATCCTCTGCATAGTATATATAGTGTATATAGTCTCTCCCCCAGAAAACAGAAGTGGATGATACAACTAGATGTTAACTATTTTTTCTAAACTCCACTTAAACTCGACTTTAACTCCACTTTTGAATTCCAGTCACCAATTGGGTGAAATCTGGGTGCATAAAATCGACTTAAACTCGACTTTTTGAATCCCAGGTTTTATCGAGTCAGGGTGAAAACTGGGAGTTCAAATATCCACTTTAAAACTCCACTTTACCTCGACTTAAACTCCACTTTTGAAATCCACTTATTAACTGGGTGAAATCTGGGTGAATAAACTCGACTTAAACTCGACTTTTTGAATCCAATATATTCCCAGTCATCAACTGGGTGAAATCTGGGTGCAAAAACTCGACTTAAACTCGACTTTTTGAATCCCAGTTTTTACCAAGTCAGGGTGAAAACTAGGAGTTCAAATATCCACTTTAAAACTCCACTTTAACTCGACTTAAACTCCACTGTTGAAATCCACTTATCAACTGGGTGAAATCTGGGTGCATAAACTCAACTTAAGCTCAACTTTTTGAATCCAATATTTTCCCAGTCATCAACTGGGTGAAATCTGAGTGCATTTACTCAACTTAAACTCGACTTTTTGAATCTCAGTTTTTACCAAGTCAGGGTGAAAACTATTAAACTCCACTGTTGAAATCCACTTCTCAACTGGGTGAAATCTGGGTGAATAAACTCGACTTAAACTCGACTTTTTGAATCTCAGTTTTTACCAAGTCAGGGTGAAAACTATTAAACTCCACTGTTGAAATCCACTTCTCAACTGGGTGAAATCTGAGTGCATTTACTCAACTTAAACTCGACTTTTTGAATCTCAGTTTTTACCAAGTCAGGGTGAAAACTATTAAACTCCACTGTTGAAATCCACTTCTCAACTGGGTGAAATCTGGGTGAATAAACTCGACTTAAACTCGACTTTTTGAATCCAATATTTCACAAGTCATCAACTGGGTGAAATCTGGGTGCATAAACTCGACTTAAACTCGACTTTTTGAATCCCAATTTCTGTGTCAATATATTCACGAAACCTCAACTGCACCGAAATGCATTTTTAAGTGAGAATTTAATAATA